AGCCAAGAACAGACTCTTTTTTTCATTTTCTACGATTTTGATTGATTACATATTCTCGAATTGTTGGAATTGGCCCGTAGTTGAAAAAAACAGGTTCAAATTCTCAGTTCGGAATTTATTCCTCTCATTAAGCAAATACTCGGCAAAAATTCAATCAGCGAAGTGCTAGCCAAAGAACGCCCGCCCTTTGACGGCAAAAAAGGACCAGAAAAAATCTACTTGCTGATTGGCAATCCAGAAAATATCGAAAAAAAGTTATTAGATTGCTTAGCCAGTTTTTCCTCTGCTCAAAAAGCCAATTTTCAATTTGTAGTTGGTATTCCACCCGTAATCGGTGGTGAGATGAGATTAGCCCGCATAATTGACTATCTTTACACCCAGAGCGAATACATAATTAATTTCAGCAAAAAAGAATATTTAAGCCTCGGGGTTAGTTTTTACGACTTAAAATTGCTACTTCACTTATTACAACCAGCAGGAATAATTAACCTCCAAAACAGTTATAAGAATAAAAATTTTCTACCCCATTTGCCTGGTCGATTTTTGACTCTCAATAATGGTTGTGCCCTGGAATTTCCCACTCATAAAATTTCCCCCCTCAAAACTAAAAAATCCTTGATAAGTTTGGAGGAAATATTGGTCGAACAAAGGAGTAATTTAGGGCAAAGCGGGCTATTAATCATTCTTCTTACTGCCGAATGGGGCAGCAGTAATCTCAACAACGGAGAACAGGAAATAAAAGTGCCTGGTGAAGCAACAAAAAATAAATTACAATTAAAAGAGGTGAAAATTGAGCCGGTGGCTATTAGTTCAGTGTTAAATATTCCAAAATTAATAACCAAAATAAAAAGTTGATGACCGACGAAATTAACTTCCGATATCCAAAAAGAGGACCCACTAAAAATAATAAAAAAAGCCGTGGAAAAAAGATTAAATGGTTTGGTAAGAAATTATTTGAGTTCAGAACACGACCTCAATATCGAAGAAGCCCTCGTTTTGCTGTTCATTTTTGAATAGACAATGATATGAAAATAGATAAAATATTTTAAGAATGAATAAAACTTTTTAATATGGGTTATTCACACCAGGAAATCGAAAAAAAATGGCAAGATTATTGAGAGAAAAATCAAACTTTTTTCACTAATTTAGACGATAAATCGAAACCAAAAAAATACATTTTGGCTATGTTTCCTTATCCGTCAGGAAGTGGTTTGCATGTCGGACATATCCGTAATTATACTATTACTGACGCCCTGACCCGCTTTTATCGAATGAAAGGCTATGAGGTTCTGATGCCGATCGGTTGAGATGCTTTTGGTTTACCGGCCGAGCAATACGCAATACAGACTAATAATCACCCCGCTACTTTCACCCAAAAAAATATTGATAATTTTAAGAGGCAACTATTAAGAATGGGTTTTTCTTATGATTGAAGTAAAGAAATAAACACTAGCGAACCCGACTATTATCACTGGACGCAATGGATTTTTTGCCAAATATACCGGCAAGAATTAGCCGAATATAAAGAAATACCCGTTTATTGGTGCGAAAAATTAGGGACTGTCCTGGCGAATGAGGAAATCAAAAATATTGATGGCAAAAAGGTTTCAGAGCGAGGAAATTTTCCGGTTGTAGAAAAAAAAATATCCCAATGAGTTTTGAAAATCACTGATTATGCGAAAGAACTTTTGGCTGGTTTAGAGCAATTAAATTGACCCAACAGTATTAAAAGTTTACAAAAAAATTGGATTGGATTACAAAAAGGAACTTTTATTAATTTTCCCGTAGTAGATAAAAATTTGACGATTACTGTTTTTACCAAAAGCCCCCAAACTCTTTATGGAGTAAGTGCTATTGCCTTATCGGTTAATCATCCTTTTATCATTCAAATTACTTCTCCAGATAAGCAAGCCAAGATAAATAAATTTTGTGCTATTTGAAAAGATGAAACGAGCCAAGAAGTAGAGGCTGAATTTACCGGAAATTATTGTTATCATCCTTTGACCCAGGAAAAATTACCAATTTGAGTGGCTAATTTTGTGCTTGGTGAATACGGAACTGGGGCAGTAATGATTAATGCTTTTGCTCCGGAAATATTTCAGTATAAAGAAATACCTAATCTGATTAGTGAAAAAGAATTAAAACAAAATAAACAAGTTGATTATTCTTTTGCGATAAAATACAATTTACCAATAAAAAAAATTTTTCACCTAAATAAGCAAGGCGAAAGGTTAACAGGTCATTTTATTAATTCGCCTCTAATTAATAATTTGGATAATAAAGAAAAAGCCATTGAAATTATTAACCAGCATTTAGAACAGGAAAAAAAGGGCCAAAAAGGAGAATTTTATCACCTAAAAGACTGAATTTTTTCCCGTCAGCGCTATTGAGGCGAGCCAATTCCGATTATTCATTGAGAAAATGGCAAAAAAGAACTTTTGAAGGAAGAAGAACTGCCTTTAATTCTCCCCCCTCTAACCGATTTTACTCCTAATCCCCGTTATTATTCACCTCTTCAAAAAGCGGAAAATTGAGTAAATGTTGAAAAAAACGGACTAAAAGGAAAAAGAGATGTTAATGTCATGCCCCAGTGAGCAGGTTCTTGTTGATATTATATTGCATTTTTGTTGCGAAAAAATGACGATTATTTGCCGTTGAATAGCCCAGAAGCAAAAGAAATTATAAGAAATTGACTGCCCGTAGATATTTATATTGGAGGACAAGAGCACGCCAATTTACACTTATTATATGCTCGCTTTTGACACAAAATTTTGTACAAAATTGGCGTGGTTTCTCATCCCGAACCTTTTCAAAAATTAATTTGCCAAGGCATGATTTTAGGAGTCGACGGTGAAAAAATGTCAAAATCGCGAGGCAACGTTATTAACCCCAATGAGTTAGTGGAGAAATACGGAGCCGACGCTTTGCGTCTTTACGAGGTTTTTGTTGGGCCTATCGACCAAACCGCTAATTTTAATACTGACGGCGTGCGGGTCATGAAAAAATGATTAGACCGCGTTTACAATTTTTTTGTTGACTACCGCGAAGCCGTTCTCACTGGCATTCACAATCAGGAGATAGAAGCCGCTCATTACGAAATGG